TCTCTTCGTCTGACGACCAGTCCAAAGTGGATAGAAAAGTGTGAGAGAGCAAAGAGGACTATCTCAAACGCTCGCAGTGCTGATGACAATGTCTGTTGACTCGGTTTGACTATTCACCACTACTTGGTTTATTTTATCAGTAACAGGAGTGGTTCTTTTCATCTATCCCCCCTTCCTTCTATCTCTCTCTCCTTTGGCCTCGTAAGCTCTGCATTCCTCTCTTGTTCAGAAGAGCTCCATCATACTCATCCTATTTCCTCACAAATAAACATTCCCTTGCTTCCGCGTAAAGTCTGCCAAATACACTGTCACCCACGTGGCAGGGAATGAAGGGCAGTTCAGCAAATTATGTAATCACGACGAGGCAGGAGGTGGGCTTCTGACTGCAATAATACTAAAAGCAATGCGACCAGGTGCATCGCCTGGCCGGTACGACCAACAAATCTGCTGTAGATTGAAGCATGGCCTACGTATGCCTCGGGGGATAATGAAGGGTTTGAGCCCTGCCAAGGGGTCGGCTGGACGACCTTTCGGTCTACACAAGAGGAGTCCAGATAAAAAGTCAGGAGTGTGTAATGATAGAAGTGTCACCTGTATCCAGCTCTGTTTACTCATCTGCTCGCAATTCGGCATACCCTTTCACTCATCTCGCTTCTGTTATCAGCCTCCCTCACCACATTGACGTCAATCTTCAGGCTAGATGGACACTATGCGCTCAATACCTCGGCAGGAGGCATACGGTACTGAGCAAACATCGGCCTTTCAAAACAGTCCAGCAAACTTCATTATCGCATGCCTCTGACTGATCACTGAACCACAAATAATTGTTAATCCACTCGAAACATACTCATACCGAGTAAAAGTAAAGTTGTCGATATTAATGGCATATATATATGACGGAGGGTAGACGTGTCGGCTTGTGTAGAACCCGGTCTTGAGACCCGTTGGCGGCGCTAATGAGACGATGAGATGAGCTTTAAACTACAGTCCAGTCTAAATGACAAAACCCTAGGAAGGCAAAGATAAACTAAATTCAATGGTATCGTAAAGCTTACTTATATAAATATTGAAATCCCATGTACTCTCGTGAGGTGTATTTACTCTATTTCATTTTAGTTAACAAAAGGACTAGTAGCTGAATTTTCCCACAATTATATGAGTAGACCTTAGTTATTCATTGAATTTCCATAGCCTTTCCAAAAAGTATTCTCATCACAGATGAGATAAACTGCCGTTTCGACCATTTCCTCAGCACTCTTACTGGAACTACAACCATAACAGTTCAGTGCATGATCTCTACACATTAACTACTACGCAACGAACCAACCAGTACGACAATCTATTTATAAAAATGAAAAATAAGTCATAAAATTTAAATGATTTTGGTGATGAAATCGCTGTTCGGTCATAATTGTATCCACTTAATTTGAGTGGTCAATCAAATAATGAAAATGGGTCAAATAAGGCTGTGAGAATAAGGTAAGATTGCAGCCCGTCACATTTCCCGTCTTTGTGTTTACGCTTAAAATTTATGTCCCTATTGGATGGAATAAAACTCATCACGGGTTAATCGGGGTCGCTGGGCGGTACGTCGAGGACTTATTCGTACAAATCCATAATCATAAATCCAAACTAAGTACCCATTATTTCCAATGATGCTAATTCGTGAATGCTATGGCAAAGGATATAGGACTAGG